ATTACATCCTGCTGTGAATGTTGGGTTTTAACATCATGCTGGAGAGGCTTGTGGCATCAGATTTGTGTTTTCTGTACACTGGTTTGTATACGCAAACATTTAGGATTTGAGTAATGAAATGTTTGTTGTTATTCCCAGTTCTTGTTGCTGATGTATCTGGTCACGTTCCTGGGAAACCTCTGCGATGGCCTTACCTTGCTCATCATCGGTATGATGTCCAACTTTACAACTTTTTTTTTCTTTTAGTTATGCTGTGTAACTTGCATCAGTTAATCTATAACTTGCAAATCTACACATATACATAGGCCTCAAAGATATTGAGACATTTTTGTGTCCAGTTACATTACATTTACTATGAAGAATTGACATATATTATGATGCTTCACGAGCAGTTAATGCTAAATGCTTTTTTAACTAGTTCTTCCTCCTCTTGTCATTATTTGCTGTTCAGGTGTGATTGCTGTCTTCTCTCTCCCCCTGTTTTACACAAAGCACCAGGTAACACAATCTCTGTGGGCTTTAATGACAGTGACATCTCATCCACATTCTCTATGTAGTTCAGTTAGACATATTTTATATTCAAATAAGCCTAATTACTGGATATAATAAGAAACATTGTTTACAAATGTTACAGATGTTAATACTATGGTGACATCAAAAACATTGTGGTTTTAATTATGGATTAATTTGTATCTGGATCATCTGTAATTGAATCTGGAAACTATTTTAGTGGATCTACCATGTCATACTGTTTATTAATATATTATGTTGAATCTGTTTTTCTTGAAAAATGTATAGTGTAATGCTAATACAACACTAATAATAATGCAGTACCATAGAAGTAGTGCATATGATTTCTTCCCCATATCTGCATCTATAATATCTAATCTGCACTTCTTACATTCAAACTGGCTCAGTGTGATTAGTTACCATGTGTTTGGCATTGCTGACGTTAAATCTGGGATAATGTGTCTTCCCACAGCATAATTTTGAATTGAATTTGTCATTTTAATTGTAGTTTTTGATCGGCAGAGGAGAAAGTCTTCCTGATTAAATGTATAAATTCATATCATTATTTAAATTAATTGTAATGAATAAGCACATTAAATTGACAGTCCAGTGATTCATTTATAAATTGGTGATGGCTTATGTGCAATGATATGGAAATGAAAAAAAACAATATACTGATTTCTAAAGACACTACAGTATTTGTAATATTTATTATAGTGAATTTTCTGAGCAAATATTGAAAAATCAGTTAATTTGATTTTTTAATCGACAGCCCTACACTGAAAAAAAAATTACTTTGAAACAAATTTCACTCAGAAATTGCTAATAAATGTCACAAATAATTATAAACAAACACTGAAATTCTGAAGTATAAAGACTGAAAATATGTTTCTTGTAAAACATACTCAAATAATCTTTGTTTTATTTACAACCTCACAAAATAGTTTTAATACTATTAACACATATATTGCAGCTCATGTAACTCTTCTTTTTCAGGACAAAGTGGACAGCTGCTTTGTATCAGTGCAAGCCCATTTTGACAACATAAAGGGCTTGTGAGTATAGCGCCATCTACTGCAGGCAGTGATTTATATCTTCCTTTCATATCAGTGCTTAAATATGACCCATGATATTTGTGATCATAATAGTTAATCAGACAGTTCTGATCTCCATTTACCAATAAACACTGGTTCTCTAAATCTATGACAGAGCACAAATGATACTTTACTCTAATTGTATTTTTGTCTGTTGAACAGCCTTCATCGCCTGGCCCAGGGTGGCGGACCACCCCCCGACCCCACTCCAGGTGGCGCTAAACCCAAAGCCCATTGAGACACCTCTCAGAGGAGGAGGAGCTACACACTGTCACTCAAAAATGTCTTAAATAGCAGTTGTGCTCAGAGGCCCGCCTCTGCAGCAGTGGGGGAGGGGCTAATATACGGCCTTATATAGGAGGAGATATGGATTTAAGGAAGGACCACGCAAAGAACAATCTTGGATGAAAATCAAAGGCTTTGGAATTCTGAGAAGTTAAAGACACATTTTCATTTCCACATTTCAGTGTCAGTATGAGTGTATGAATGAAACAGAAGAATCTAAGATACTTCAGCCACCCGTACAATAATGGCCCCTTGAGAGTTATCTGAATAAACATGGATGACTTCAGTGAAGTAAAAGGGGTTAGAATCCAGACTGACTGCAGTTCGCCTGCCAGAAACATAATGCAGGACCAGTTTCCAAATGGGGTTTTTACTTCTGACAGTCTCAAAATATCTCATTGTATTGGTGTGTGTGTGTGTGTGTATGTGTGGGCAGCTTAAGCCTGTTAAAGTACCTAAGAGCTATTAAAACCACAATGTTATTTTCTTTTCCAATGTTTTGTTTCCTTGGTATTATTTCAGTGTAAGTTTGATTTCCCATCAAAGCAAATCACTCTTGCCACCCTATCCCAAAACTTGACCGCACCACATACTTGACTGCATTACCTTTGTACAAAAACACGTCAGAAGAATCATCACGTGGCTTATCACTGAGGTCAGCTGGGCTTTTGACCTCATGTGACAGAATGAATCAGTCAAATGTCTTTTGCCATCTACAACATCCCTAGTAGATGGCCTTTTAAAAGTAGGGAGTTAATGGCTTAAATTTAGTTCTTTTGGCGCACAAAAATATTGCATTACTTCAGATGGCATGGAATATAGTGCATGAGATATATGGGCCGCTTTTATGGTGCTCCAGAGAGAGACAGTAAAACAGGAGCTAAACTTACATATAAGCCATATTCTAGGGACCAGAACTCTTGTGAAAAGTAATACACTGTAGCATACTTTTAAAAAAGAGTACTGATTACCAAAAATAATATACTTCAAGTATAGTGTAATGTGTATTGTCAAATGTACTGGCACAGATTTAGCTATGATAAATTCAGATATACTTGAATGTGATTTCTCTTTTTTAAAAAGATATATATTTGTAATTACACATTTTAAAAATATATTAATCTTACATGTAATATCAAATAACAATGCAGTTAAAATTATAATCAAGCTTTTTACATGTGCTTTAATATGTTAGTCATCAAAATATGTGTACTTCTGTAAAACACAACAGAAGATTTAAAATGTACTTTAACGTAAAACCTTTCATTTGACATTATTACAAAGTGCACTTTTTTAAAAAGGTTTCCATGCCATTAAGCAATGGAGGGTCAGCAAGACTATTCATATAATTCCCTTCCTCCCTCTGCACTCTTCCTGAAAACATCAGGAAGCCGTTAAGCCTTAAAAGGTTTAGTCACAGGCCTGAGTGGATGCTGATAGTACTTCCTTTTAGTTTTGTAGTTTCACTTTTCACTTTTTTTGTTTCGTATGAAATATAGAGAACATTGTTTTAGGCCAAAAGCTTATACAAAAACTGAAACACACAAGATAGGATTTTTGGATCATTTTGTGCATGTTGTTATAGTGACTGAGGCTTTCAAACTTAAAAAAACACACCATAAAAGTATTATAAAACTGATACATACAGTATCTCACAGAAGTGAGTACACCCCTCACATTTTTGTAAATATTTTATTATATCTTTTCATGTGACAACACTGAACAAATGACACTTTGCTACAATGTAAAGTAGTGAGTGTACATTTTGTATAACAGTGTAAATTTGCTGTCCCCTCAAAATAACAACACACAGCCATTAATGTCTAAACCGCTGGCCACAAAAGTGAGTACACCCCTAAGTGAAAATGTCCAAATTGGGCCCAATTAGCCATTTTCTCTCCCCGTTGTCATGTGACTCATTAGTGTTACAAGGTCTCAGGTGTGAATGGGGAGCAGGTGTGTTAAATTTGGTGTTTAAATTTGGTGCTTTCGTGGAGATACTGTACATTGTCTTGTGTCCAGCTAGCTGCAAGAAAACATGCTGTCATAATTACCTATAATGTCCTCATCAGACATTAAGCTAAAGACAAATGTGTGATTTCAGAAACATATAATTAGTTTTGCATTTATTTACACAGACATAATCTTTCTTTCTCATACAATTTAATAACAAGCTAAGTTATTTGAATTAATGTAGCTCTAGTCCTATACAGTCAGTTTAATTCAAATTCAATACATTTATATATGTAGACACATTTTATATTACATATATGCATCTAATATTTCATAATATGTATACATATTGTACATTAATTTCTCAAAATAAATATTAAATAGCGCAGTTGTATATATTGACCACAAGGTGGCAGGAAAGCTCAGTTTAATAGCTGCCAAAAGGAGAAGGTGAATAGGATCAATCAGATGTAAAATAACGGCACATTATTGCATTATTCTGCAACTAAAGTTTAATACAAATTATCATTATAGTATGCTGTAAATATTAATCGTTCAATTACTTTAAAGACATTGTTATATGTTATAAACCCAACGTTTTAGGGATTTTTTATAATCAACCTTTCAACATTTCATATTCATAAACATACATGTGTTCAATGAGCGCCTAAATTGCATACTTTCCTCTTAGATTAATATTTAAAATAACATTTTAATGGGACCATGTTTCCAAATCCTCTAGAGTAAAACATTTGCTCTCTGACGTCAAGAGGACCTGCCAATGTTTTATCTCAAAATCATTTTTGTAAAAATAATAATAAAAAAAAATGCATTAAACAAATTAAATAAAACATTACCTTTCACCACAGTTAGAATGCTACAAAGCAACCTTTCAGTTATGATTGCTTATGCTTGCAATAAATAAGACATATATTCAAAATGTATGACATTATAGCAAAATGAGGCAATGTCATATAAAACTGTTCAAATTGGAGATGTACTCTGAAAATGAAGAACCAACAGCCATCGCCATTGTTTCTAGTGGAACAAATGTAATGAATATGCTGAAGCAGCCATGTGAGGAGGGAGGAGCTAGTCAACTGAAGGCTGACTATAAAGGCTGCCTCTCTCACTCCTTGCCCAGCTGTTGTAGGTTCTTTAAGCCTATAGATTTCGTGGAGACACTAAGTATTTGGATCTTATGAAATTGACGGTTTACGCGCACTGCACCGGATCAAGCGCATTTACGCAGTGCTCGTATTGTTTAGTCGTTTATTGAGGCTTCTTATTGATGGTTTTTTCCTGGGTCACTCCATTAGGAGTGTGCGATTCAGCAGCGCGTCATGGATTACAGTAACCTGATGGCGCCTCCGGTGCCGCCACACAAACCCATGTCCCCCCGGCCTGCGCACTGCCAGGGGCGCCTGTTAAAGTGCGTGTTTCTCGGGGATGGAGCTGTGGGGAAAACCAGCCTGATTGTCAGCTACACAACCAATGGATATCCGACAAAATACGTCCCGACAGCGTTTGACGATTTCTCAGGTGAGTCTTTGGATTCGTATAATGATGCCGCATCAGTTGCAAACAAATGCACGAACTGTTCATAGAACTAATTTCACTTTTCCAACCATTTTGTTAGTGACTTTTTGCCTAGAACTCTAGACTTTTTAGCTTGTAGTTTAAGTTTTTTTCGGATGTATGAAGTCAGTTCTTCTCAAGGTCACAGGTGTGAACACTGGAACCACAAATACAGTTCATTATTACTAACTACATGACAGACTTTTTAACCGTCATTTTGAACATTATGTTATAGTTTCAACCCATTTTCACCTGGTTTTTTTATTATTATTATTGTTATTATTATTATTTTGTATAGTGTTCTTCTTAACAAGCATGCTTGTTTAATATTATTGATGAAGTCCATTTAAATAGTATTTTGTTTTTTCATGTCATCTCTTCATTTGGGTCAACAGAGCCAGATTAAAAAGTCAAATATTTATAAATACTGACAAACCAGTGAGTTCATTCAGAATACAAGATTGTTTAAAACTGGTCTTGATATATTGATACACTGGAGAGAAAAAAAAATAATATAAAAATAAATGGTTTTATTCAAGTCTAAAATGATTAAACATCACTGAATCAACTTAAATGCATTAATTTATACCAACAAAACAATTTTTATCTGGTAGAAATAGGTCTTTAAGGTAATAACTGCAGGTTACCACATTTACAATGTATAGAGAAACTGTAACAGTCTGAAAATCACTCATAAACTGAAATTCATCAGAGCATGTATGATGCTGAGCTCATAAAATATAATATGAAAGCAAGAAATATTTGACCACCAAGTGCAAGACTGAATTCGATGACTGATTTTATTAGTTTTCATAAATATAATCGTGTTGACAAAAAATTGGGACATAGCTGTGAAACAGGAGAGAGGTTTCAGGAAAGTTGATTTTTAGTGCCAATTTAACTTGAGTTTGTTTCCTTGGACCTGAAATTAGTCAAGTATTAGTCCCTTACATCCTTAATCGAACCGAAAGCAGTGCTTTAAAACTCACTATGTACTGTAGTACTATAACATCATTTTCACTCAAAGAAGTGTTTCATAATTGTGAATGGACCTCAAACAAGAGCCAGTCAGTGGTCAGATCCCACAAGCATGTCTTTGTAATTAGAAAGGCCTTGCGCAATGATGCCTGACCTGAAAATCTGGCCCCTAAAATCCATTGGGTCCACTTGTGTGAATCTGTGAGCAGATATTGTGTGCTGGAGCCTGTGATGATGTCACGCTCACTCTCGTGGAACCAGATCAGAAAACTCTGCACTGATTTGAGAGCAGTTACGCAATTCAACAGGTGCCAATTTGAGGGGGGAAGGGGCTGAATTAAAGGCAGATCATATGACGGGGATTTGGAGACAACTCCACAATGGGCACTTGACGAGCAGAACACTTTGAAGTGACAAACCATCACCAGGCCCTCAGTGTTACTGTGTTTCATGAGATCACTGTACTGTGGCATGTTGGAACAGACGTTCTCATAGGTTTTAACAGCATGTACAGTCCTTCAAACATGCAAAGCGTGAGATGTTGAGCTGTTTATGAGCTGCACTAACCCACAAATCTGGGCAGTTGATCTGTAACATGTTCATGAGGGTGTATACAATTTTATATTATTATTACAGACTGATATTTTAAAAATGTATTAAATTTAAATAAATCTATATAAAATGTGGTTATGATGGTTATATAAAGGGATTGTATAAAGAGTTGTTAAGTGTTGGCAGTGCGACTCATCCTCTCTCTCTCTTTTCTCCAGCGGTCGTACAGGTGGATGAACAACCAGTGAGACTGCAGCTTTGTGACACTGCAGGACAGGTAAGAACTCCACTGCACCACCTGCGTCCTAGTGTCGTAGCACAACTATACAATGCTCATTGCATCATGTTGATTTTTATACATTTTGAGTTTACCCCAAAGAGGAACATCAACTAAATAGTTATTTTTGTTTGGGGGGTTGGCATTTCTGTCACTCTCTGAAACCAGGATTTGGAAATTGGATGATAAAGTGATTACGCAACACAATCGTAGTAATTAGAAGAGCTCGGCATGGATGCCATACTGTGAGGAAATCGTAAGAGAGCAAAAAGAACAATCCTCAAGCTATTGGCACTTTAGTTACTGGATCTCCCTCTCTGTTTCTGAGCCATGCAGGCTTGGACAGGGTACCATGTAACCAGCGGTTTTGCCTCCAAGTGATGTTTTTGATGCCAAACTTTTTTCAGCACTGATTGTTTTGCAGTTGTGAAATCACTGAAAATAATTAAAAAAGGCCCTTTGGCTGTACATTCATTACGATTTTCACATTGGGATATTATATCGTTTCGTTGAAGGGTTTTGTTTAAGGCTTTGAACTTTACATTACATGGGTTACAAATAAATGACTCTGCCCTCTTAGTACATAACCTATAAATCCCTTTACACAGCCATGCAGAGGCAAGCTCAGGCAAACACGGAAACATAAGAATTCAGTTACCCAGTTATAATACTGCAGGCTTTCACATAGTTTTCAAAGCGAAAGTACAAATGCACTTTGCCCAAAGTGGAGAAACAAAGGCTAGCATCACAAAAGTCTATTGCTTTCAGCCTGTTTGGATATACTTCCATTATGTTGTGCAGGTGTCCATGTCAACAAAAGAAAACAGCCGTTGTTTGATAATAAAGTCAATCAGGCGATGTCTGTGCATCAGTAAGTTGACATTAAAGGTCCCATGACATGCTGCTTTTTGGATGCTTTTATATAGGCCTAAGTGGTCCCTAGTACTGCATCTGAAGTCTCTTTCCCGAAATTCAGCCTTGGTGCAGAATTTCAGCCACTACGAGCCAGTCCCACAATGAGCTTTCCTTAGGACGTGCCATTTCTGTGTTTGTAGCTTTAAATGCTAATGAGGAGGAGAGAGGCGGGGCAACTGCCATGCTTCGCTCGTTTGCAAGCCATGATGTCTCTCGAGGAAAAAAAAATATTGCGCTCGCCTCGCACGGTAGTAGCTCATTTTCTCATGGGCGGGCCAAATTCTCTGGGCGGGCAAAGCAGAGAAAGGGGAGGTAACCTTTCCCCGTATGACGACATAAAGGGAAGATTCCAGATTGGGCCATCTGAGCTTTCATTTTCTCAAAGGCAAAGCAGGATACCCAGGGCTCGGTTTACACCTATCGCCATTTCCAGCCACTGGGGGACCATAGGCAGGCTAGGGGAACTCATATTAATGTTAAAAAACCTCATAAAGTGAATTTTTCATGCCATGGGACCTTTAAGTTGTAGGGCTGGGCGATATGACTGTATATACTGTACAAATCTGACATATTCACCTGTGTGTACCACAGTTCACTCAAAATAATAACAGTAAACCATAAACCCAAAATCTAAAAATCCAACACCAAGCAGTAACAACAACAACAACAATGATAATAATTGTTTTTATTATTATTATTGTTATATTAATGAGTAATAATAGTAGTAATAATAGCAATAATAATATGCCATTTCTATCTAGTTACTGTAAAACCTGCTTACAGTAAGCTACTGCATTGGCTGTTTAACAGTTATTTTTAGGTTACTGTAATTGGTGGCTGGAGCATATTACTGTAAAAACTGAAATGAAACAGTATCAAGCTTGAATTATTCTATACAGTAAATGAATTGTTGTAATAACCATATTGCTGCTATTGCATAATTTTTTTATTAAACGAATTCAAAAAATTCATATTAAAATATTTTAGTAGTACAATCTTTTCATGTACATATTGTATAATTTTTACATGCATTAAAATAATAATGGTTACACTAATGAACATAAATTAAAAATAGATTAAAACACAAATTCATGTGCATTCAGTAAGTTTAATGTGTGACGTGTGAATATGTAAATGTAACAAAAAGCTGCATAAATGTTATTTTATATATTTTATGTATTTATTTATTTATTTGCAGAATTATAGATTTACCTAGATTCTTCTTTTTTTTTTTTCCATGTTTCACATTTTTTCTAAATCTTAGCATTTCGTAACGACAAGTAGATGTAGCATAGATATTGAAAAGGTTTGGCATTCTCATCTGTCAAGTTTAATTGGTGTTCTCAAAGTTTTGAGAGGCCCTGCTCTCCAAAAGCTCAACAGATTTATATTTTAATTAATTTGTACAGCATAAATGGGACAGGGTGTGCCAGAGTTGAAAACTTTGGCCGAGTTTAAAAGACTAAAGCAGGCACTGCATGTTCCACAACATGGCTTTGCTTTGCAAGCGCCAAACCTATAATTTCACGTAATTGCTTCAGGGAATTATAAAACACCCCAAGAGCTAGTTAAATGATTTTATTATTTAAAATAACAATTTGGAATCCCACAAATGATTTTTGAGGGCTTCACAAGGCCTTGTGTTACAAAACACTCTAAACATCAGTAATGATGCTCTTTTACCTCTGTCTCCACCTCAGGACGAATTCGATAAGTTGCGTCACTTCTGCTACACGCGGACTGACGTTCTCCTCCTGTGCTTCAGCGTTGTCAGCCCCACTTCCTTCCAGAACATTGGTGAAAAATGGGTGCCGGAGATCCGACGCCGTTGTCCACTCACACCTGTGTTACTGGTGGGCACCCAGTGCGACCTACGGCAAGACGTCAAAGTCCTCATCGAACTGGCACGGCGCAGAGAGCGACCCGTCCTGGAAGAGGACGCCCGCACCCTGGCAGACAAAATAGGAGCGGTAGCCTACATAGAATGCTCTTCTCTCACACAGAAAAACCTTAAGGAGGTGTTTGACGCTGCCATCTCCGTCGGGCTCCGACACTCCGACCGAAGAGCCAGACGAGAGCGGAAGGTACACAGTACTGCTGATAAAATGAAAATGCTCTCAAAATCGTGGTGGAAGAAATATATCTGCATACAGTAGCAAAGATCAAAGCAATCTTCTGAGGCATGAACAATGTGATAGACTCTTGTTTACTGTCATGCTCCTCAAGTGGATGATGGTCAGTTGATAACGAATCAACAAAGGACAGTATTGTTACTTTAAGGACGATGTGAATGGTTGCAAAATGTGCAGCTAGCTTCCCAGTAACCAAAGTTTACCATATGCAGGGTCATCACTAAAAGTCACGGGGCCCGGGATGAAGATTTTCTACATTTGGGCCATTGAGTAGATTCAGGGGCCGTTTACACGACAACGTTTTCAGCCAAAAACGTGAAACTTTTTATGCGTTTTGCCTGTTCGTTTACACGACAACGGCGTTTTGGGGACTGAAAACGCATATTTTTGAAAACCGGTTTCAAAGTGCAAGTTTTTGAAAACGCCACTGTTGTCATTTCCGTGTAAACACCCAATACGATAATCTTTGAAAACGGTGACGTCATGCGCGTGCGTAGTACGTGCAGTGTTGCCAGATTGGATGGATGATTTCCAGCCCAAAAGCTCATAAAAACCCGCCCAAAAACCACCCAAAACTTTAAAATAATGTGATGGAATATGTAAATCAAGGTTGATAAGGGCCATTTTAACTCCTTAAAACAAAACAATGACGACAAAATAATATGAATATAACGTTAGATAAATTTCCCAGGTAAACGGATCAAATCGGGGCAAATAGCCTACATTAAAGAGAATTAGGCTACCGAACATGAAGAAAATATGCAAGCAGACACTGTCAAAACTGCAATCAAGAAATTAACCGATACCCTCGAAACAACATGCATCATTTTCAATGTCAGCAGGCAGAATAATCCAATTTAAATGCAAAAAGTGCCCAATATAAGTGATAGGAAAAAGCAACGTAATTAGCAGATATTTCACACTCGTTAATGCGCACACCATGACAGTCAAAATGGTGTCATTCATTGATACATACTGAATTATAATCCGACAATAAAAAAATAAAAATAATGCGCTTACTTTCGCTCTATAATTTTACACTGAACAGTCAAAACTAATCAAGTCTAGCAGTTTTCAAGGATTTATCAATCTGGACCGTTTAAAAGATAAAAGACAGGATCGTATAAACGGACATATTTAGTTTCGGTTTTGATTAATTAATTCAAATGTGCTCTGATTTCGGAGTTGCAGTGATAGAGCCTTAGTGTCATCTCACTCCACAATAATTCTTGTTCTGAGAGTTGAGTCACTCTCCCACTCTTTAA